TTTTTAAGATTTTATTTATTTATTTGACAGAGAGAGAGACAGCGAGAGAGGGAACACAAGCAGGGGGAGTGGGAGAGGGAGAGGGAGAAGCAGGCTTCCTGCGGAGCAGGGAGCCCTATGCAGGGCTCGATCCCAGGACCCTGGGACCATGACCTGAGCCGAAGGCAGACACTTAACGACTGAGCCACCCAGGCACCCCTGGTTCCAGTTATTTCTGAAGCCCTTGAGATCCATAGATTTTCCCTGAATTAATCAAATAAATCCCTGGGTGGCTCAGTTGCCTGGGTGGCTCAGTGGGTTAAACATCTGCCTTTGGCTCAGGTCATGATCCCAAGGTCCTGCTCAGCAGGGAGCCTGCTTCTTCCTCTCCCTCTGCCCCTGCTTGTTCACGCTCACTCTCTCTAGTGCGTTCTCTCTCAAATAAACAAATAAAATCTTTAGAAAAATAAATAAATCTCTTGTTTCACTTCAGCTAACTTGAGAGGGTTTTGTTTCTTTCCAAGAATCCTTAACTATGACAGCATTTATCACCCCTGTAATATTTCATCCTTTACACCTTTGATACCATACCCTAGAGTTCTGAGGCAGGGGTGTACAACAAAACTTTCTGTGATAATGCAGATGTTCTCTATCTTTGTTGTCCAATATGGTACCAACTAGCCCTATGTGGCTAGTGAGTACCTGAAATGTGGCTAGTGTGACTTAAGAACTGAATTTTTCATCTTACTGAACTTGAACGAATTGAAATTCAAATAGCCACATGCAGCTAGTGGCTACCATTTTGGAAAGTGTAGCTTTGGTCTTCAGTACTCTCCTCTTTATTACCTCATTTGACCCTTACAAAATCCTGGTGTGGTTTATAGTAGATTTGTAGTAGTTATCACTATCCCTGGGTCTCTAAAAGATAAATTTACTTGCCTAACAACATCCCATAGCTAGTATGGGCATAGTTAGGATTGAAATCGAGTTTCTTGACTCCTAGTAAATATTCTTTCCACATAGCCTTATATTCTAAGAAGTGATGCCCTTCAACCTGTCTTTCCTGCTGGTTCCTGAAGTCCCTTTACCCAGACCTTCCATCCACAAATTCCCTAAAGACCACAAGTATAGATTGGCTGGAGGTAACGATTGTGTCCTGTGGCTTGGAAACAGAGAGGAGATAACTGATCCACTTGTGGATCAAGCCCTAGCAAAATGGGCCAACAGCTGCAGCCAGATTCAGAAGAGCCCATCATGGAATCTGCTACAATGAACTTGGAGCATGATCCCACTGTACTGCTCTTGCCCTACATAGATGGGGTTTTGCTATTCCACACTCAAACATGGCATGGTGATGCATTCAACCTTAGGTCATTCAGGTAAAAACATAAAAACAAAAACACCTGAGACATGCGTACTCCCTCTCACAAGCTGTTCTTTGTCAGAACTGCTGATCATTCAGGTGCAAGCCTCCTCTGGCCACCCCCTGAAGCCCCCGTCTGCTCACTTCCTCCCTCTTATCTCACTCTCTTCCTGTTAGCTTTCCACTGAAATGCCACATCTACGAGGTGGGTTTTTTCTCCTCCGCTCATGGTGCTGAACACAAACACCCCCCACAAAGAGATCCATGTGGAAAAGCAGGTCCCGTGGCACTCTCTGCCTGAGGCCATCTGTGAAATCACACTCCGGGGTGCTTCAAACTATCACCACGAAGGACATCACCACGCAAACTCTGCAAACCCCTGGCAATCTTTCCCTGAAAAGAATACCTTCCCAAAGGCTTAGTCGGCCTGGAAAGAGGTTTGAGAAAACTGAGGGCCCTAAAAGTGCTTTTCCAAAATAAAAATATGAGCTAGAGGTTGGGAAGATAGAGAAAGGATGGTGAGGTTGGCTTTTTTTTTTTTTCTTTTAAAATAGACAATACTGGGGCACCTGGGTGGCTCAGTCAGTGAAGCATCAGACTCTTGGTTTCACCTCAGGTCATGGTCTTGGGGGTTGTGAGATCGAGTCCACCTTGGCTCTACACTCAGGACAGAGTCTGCTCAAGTTTCTGGCTCTCTCTCCTCCTCTGCCCCAGCCCTCCACGTGTGTGCGCTCTCAAATAAATAAATAAATAAAATCTTAAAAAAAAAAAAAACAAAAAAACATCGGGATGCCTGGGTGACTCAGTCGGTTAAGCGTCTGCCTTTGGCTCGTGTCATGATCCCGGGGTCCTGGGGTCGAGTTCCGCATCGGGCTCCCTGCTCAGCAGGAAGCCTGCTTCTCCCTCTCCCTCTCCCCCTGCTTGTGTTCTCTCTCTCAAACAAATAAATAAATCTTAAAAAAAAACACACAAAAACAATGGTCCCTCTGTATCACAAATGCTTAATTGCTGACCACCCAACAGCTGCCCCTTCATGTCTCCAGCAAATAAGACTAGGCTGTTCTGTTATTCTGATAATGAGGGTGCCATCAGTTACCATGGTCCTCAGAACAATGTTCTTTCATTGCCTTACATGAGCGTCGGTATCACTTGTTTGGCTGTTTCCCCGGGGCCTGGAGTATCTGCTTGCATGGACACCAATGTGAAACCTTCCCCCATACGATGGCAGGCTCCTATGCACAGCCCCCGAAAGACCCTCTAGCACCTCTCATGACACAGAATAATCATAGCAACTCCTTGTCACAAAGCCCTGCAGTGGCTGGTACTCACAAACATTTCAGTAAATATTAAAACCCCGTATGAAGTTTAGAGATTTTTCTTCCAAAGATACTTAGATAATGAACTTGAAGATAGCAATCTCTTGAACTGGCTGGACATTTATTCAAAACTTTAACCAGCTTTAAAGTCACCCTTTCTTTTTGCCTCAATGTAAAAGGCTTACTGGAGGGGGAAAAAAGTCATCTTTGGAGGATTTATTTCTCCATCACGTCCCTTAATGTGCCACTACCAGCTGCCATTTATTAAACTCTACTATACACCAGATCCTTTACGCATATTATTAACATTCTAATCCTCACGACAGTCTTGCACAGTGGATGTTTTTATGACCACTTAGCACAGAAAGAAACAGAGGCTCAACTAGATTAAATAATTTGGCAGAAATCGCAAAATTAGTAAATGGTAAGGCTGAATTTTGAACCCAGAATTCTTTGGCACTGAAACATATGTGATTTTTTTTCTTACTAAATCTGCTTTAAAGCCTCATGAACATTTTTATGTTTTCAAAGCTCCTTCACATGTAGGTTTCAAAGCTCCTCACAACAAGACTATAAAGGAAGCTAGAACAGGTGGTATTTTTATCTCCATTTTACAGATAAGGAAACAGAAACTCTATCTCCTCAGTGCTCATCCAAATGCATTAACCATTCTGACATGCTCAAACCTGAGGATGTCTCTTCTGCTCAAACTTTTTCACCTACAGTAAAGTTCTCTGGAGATGGGATAGATTGGTGGGTGGGCTCCCATGTTTAAAGACATTGGCAATCCAGGATGGATAATAACAATTTCATCATACCACTGAATGGCTGAACCAAAAGGCATCTGTGTCTTTGAGTGTCAAATGCTGTATTGGGGCAGATACCCAGAAGACTTTTGAAATGAAAAAGGGAATAGGAAATCCATCTGGCCTTACTGACCAACTCAGAGCCCCTTTAGGACCCCTGCCCATAATTTATACAGTAGGTTTATTAAATGGTTAGAGCAGTGCTTCTCAGATGTTAAGGTGGGATCTTGTTAAAATGCAGGTTCAGATCCAGTAGGTCCGGGGTGATGCCTAAGCATGTGCATTTCTAACAAGCTCCCTGGTGATGCCAAATCTACTGTCCTTGGATGACACTTTAGGTTACTAAGAGAGGTTGTTAGAAATGCAGGCACTCAGGCCTCACTCCAGACCTAGGAGATCTAAGTCTGCACTTTAACAAAATCTCAGAAGTATACGTTTGAGGAGCACAGAGTTGGAGGGCTGCCTGACTGGCTGGGTAAAGGGATGACAAATAAACTTCCATTTGTTGTTCTGTCGACAGTTTGCTTCATAAACAGTCTTCAGTGTGTGAGCGTGTGTGTGTGTGTGTGTGTGTGTTTAAGAAGAATGAGGGGAAACTCACTGTTTTGAATACAAATGCCTTGACAGATGGTGACAATGCCCAGGTCTATTGA